CTGCTGGTTCTCTCAATCTCTCACCACTTTCCTATGCAGAGCATGTGTGAAGATCTAAACCCAAGTCCTCAGTAGCAAACTATCTTCCTGCTACTGGCCCTTCCTCAAAGACCAGCACTGCTTCTCCATAACAATCACACAAGGTTCCTCCTGGAGGATTTTGAAGCAGGCCCACCAGTGATGGGGAGAGTCAGACCACAGAGGCAGGAGACAGAGAGCCAAAAATGGCCAGATTCCACCCGCCATGACAGCAAGTCACTTCACATCTCTAAACCTCAGTTTCTTCTTCTGTAAAATGAAGACTAAACTGAAAGACCTGTGACGACTTCCAGTTTTCACATTCTGCCTTAGGTAACTGCTGACAATCACGCTCCTTTGACCGTTAGGTGGGCTCTTCCGAGCCCTCTGCTTGAGTAGGCCTAAGCTTGGGTTTCCCTGTCCTTGCAGACACCAGTTTGAACAAGAATCCTGCTAAGTTAAGTCAGGGAAAATCTCCCACCCTTGGTACCTTTACCTTGATTTTAGGTCCCCCTGGCTGCCCTTAGCAATAATCCCATCAAGTCAAATTAGCCAGAAACCCCTTATCATTGATTTTTCCTCTTAGTGACCTCCATCCACTGACCCCTACTCTGCTCCTGTGTTATAAATCCCAGTGTGTCCTAGTCAGAGTTGGAGTTGAGTCTGAGATCACCAGCACTGGTCCCTGCACCTGTGGCCGTAGCTCCCCTTTGAAAAAGTTTGCCTTACCATCTTTAACAAGTATCAGGAATGACTACCTTTTTCTTTACCAACCAAAAAATGATAATCAAGGTAAAACTAACTCTCACTTGTCCCAATGTCTTTCACTTTTAGGTTTAAAGGGCCTTAATTACGTGGTCACTGCCCTATTTTTTAAACTCTCATCTACAAAAAATTATTCACGATTTGAAGTTTTGCTTCTGCTACTTGCTTTGATTCAGCCCCTCAAAGAACATGATCTGGCACGTCTGTCTATGGAGGTAGCAGAGTTGTCTTCCTCACAAGGATATTAAGATAACCATGAGGACTTTTGCGGCAGAGAAAGGATACTTTGGTATTTCAGATACATTTTCAACACGTAAACAAAAGTGCCACTAATCTGTGATCAGAGACCAAACTTAATACGTGTCATCCTCTTTTCCTTCTTAGTTCTTTCAATGTCCCCACCAAAATGTAAGTTCCAGAAAGGGGCACAAATGGGGGAAGAATTGTAACAGAACTGTAAATTCTGCTGACCTTTGACTTAGCCTTGCTTAATTCTCTGGTGAGTAAAACCCACACAGTAAAAAACCATCAATGCCAAAATCCATGTCCTGGCAAATAGGAGTTATTGACTCTTGCACATGCTGTCCTGGCTTCTTAGCTGGCTTTTATCAATTCTCTGATTCTTTGGGAAAAGATTATCTATTCCAAGGCATGAAAGCATCTAACTAGGACAAATCATGGTAAAGAGCTTCTGCCCATGAAAAACAATCCTCCGTCGTCAGATATTCCCTCCTAATTGATCATAATAAGCTATTTTAAATGAAGGGGAAGGGAATGCATGGCACTCACACACAGTAATTATTGCAATTCTCCTTTTGTAATGTCACTGCACAGAAAAAATAATTTGATGCCTTACAATGACATCAAAATTAGGGTATTTGGTACAGTAAAGTAATTTGACTAAGATGCATTATTTAAAAAGCAGGTTTTCATCCCAGTGACAACATATACCACAGATTCTGGGAACTGTAATGAGAAGAAATTACCACGAGGCAGAACCCATGAGAACAGGCAGTAGTTTGGCATTGTAGCCTAAAAGCTGGAATCAGAGATTCCGTTAGCTGCTAATATTTAATGTAAAATCCAGTGATTCTGTGTCAGCTTAAAAGTAAAAGGAAAAGAAAAAGACCCCTCAGCTTCCTGGATAAGTTTTCTGGCAACTTGAAAACACTATGTTGATCTCTGTTAAGTTGAGCACCTAAGAGACTATACCAAGCTGGTCAACAAGCAGAGGTGGTCACAGAAAGAACTAGGCCTATCATGCTGATATTTATGTGTGACACGTGTCTGATCTATGAAAGTCAGGTCAACTTAGGGAGGTGGTCACTGTAGGGAGGTGATCCATTATGGAGGTTCTACTATATATGCCTAAAATTTTAAAGGTGAGTTTAAATCAAATATCTTTATTTTACAAATAAAAGAAAAAAACCCAGAGGAAGTCTCACAGCTATTAGCAAAGCCCACGGGCCTTAAGCACAGTGGAGGAGGAAGGGGTATCAGTGGAAAGACCACTACTCTTTATCTCACTTGTAATCTCATCTTCCATCTTGACCAGTAATCAACATTTCCCTTAATCAATAGATGATCTGTCTTTCTCTCTCTTGGTATCAATAAGTAATCCTTGAGTGCTTACTGTGTGCAAAATGCTGGGGCTACTATAATAATAAAGATATACCTAGCATGAAATTGTTAGATATACCTATCAATTTTACCTAACATCTCAAGCAAATACAAGTGATTATCATGTTTTTAAAATTCTACAACTTTTCACTCCACAAATTCAGGTGAGCTCACGTGAGGATATGTGCATGTGTAAAGGGGTACATGTGTGCACAGAACATCGGCCTGTATTTCCTTGAAATGGTTAGCTGTCCAGTCCTTATGTTGGTGTCTCAATGCTAATAAGCAGCACCAACTGACCTAGTGGCAACAACCGAAAAGGAGGACCTGGGCTTAGATCTAGGAAGAAAGATAAAGTACAGGTTACCAACGGGTAACAAGAAAGGGGGAAGCGACCATGACCCAGAGTAAGCAGGGCCTAAGGAGCCTCAGCTGCCATCCTCACGCAGTCCTCACACAGCCCTCGCTGTGGCTCCCAGCCCTGCCTGGGGCAGTGACCTGGGAGAGAAGTACAAATGACCTCTGTGAGGCTCACTGGAGCGCTTTCCTAGGTTAGCAGTGACCAGCATGAGGAGCCACTCGCTTTTGCTTTAATAAATGATATAACCACCAGAATTCGAAAAGAGGTGAAGTAACTTTTATTTTAGTTCTCTTAGAAGTTATCTTAATAAAAATGTACTTCAATCTATTTGGGGGGAAATATGTTTTGAAAGAAAACCTGTAAATAATTTATTTATTGGATGTTTTTAATTTACGTAACTTTTCTTGGAACTGACGATTAAGAATTCCATTGAAATCACATTATAAACTGACCTAAGCCAATTTACTAAGCCTGGTTCTTTTGATAAATACTTAGGTCACTTACAAAAGTTTTTGTTGGTCATGATGGTATTAAAGTCCTTTTTTTTAATTTGGATTTTTTTAAAAATTTCAGATTAATATGAGGGTACAAATGTTTAGGTTACACTGTTTTTGTTTCTAAACTTACAAAAGTTTTGAGACACACTGTGTTATGGCCCATTACTTCACTTCCAAGAAACACAGTTGACAGCATCCTTTCTGAGTCAATCACACAAGCTCCAACTTGCTGGGCTTATCACTGTTGCAGGGGGTTTCATTTGTTTCCGTGTGGGAGGATTTTAAGGGTTTTGATGTTTGTGAATCTCAAAAACTTTTGTAATGACCCATGTATAAGGAGCTAGGTGAGAACCACGAACTCCGTACACTCAAACTGTGACCAGTCTCAGTCCAAACTCCACCAAGGTACATGCGCAAACAGAAACAGACACAAAAACAATCTCTCTTTTCCTGGGCAAAATTTTCTTTTTCTTTTCAGGTACTTATATAAGGATTATGCTAGTTCACTCTGAGGTACACACAACATTCTCGGGGCAAGACAAGCAAATCGCACAGACAGGTGGAGAATGGAACCCTCTGACAAGGGAGGGAGCCACAGACCTCACACTCTGTCCTGAGGGATCAGGATGCCAGGCATGGCAGGTTCCCATTCCTCACTTGTGCGAGGGTGGGGCTCTGACCATTCAGTCCACAAAAGAAAAACGCAAAGAAACCTCTCGGACTATATTTGATGTGTTTCGGCAACCAACTTTGGAGAAGGCATTCCTAATGATGATGTATTGTATGTCAATTAAACATACTAAGGGACTGAATTGATGTATACACATACACGGCACTGTGTGTGCTTCCGTATTCACAGAATATATTACCATATAGACAATCTGATTGTTTCTACCAAAAAAACCCCTCTCGATCTTTAATTATTTACTGCTATTTTACCAGGCAAGTTCTCTCTTGTAACTTTAAATTATTGGGAGCTACTATGTAAAACTTATCAAAATTTTGCAAATTTTTAACACAGTAACTAAGAAAATGACATGAAGGCTATGTTAACCAGTTTGATGGAAGTGTTTCGGATTGTGTGTGAAAACACCACACTGTACCCCAGAAGTGCATTAATGTACACAGTTACCATTCAATAAAAAACAAAAACAAAAAATTTTGCAAATTTGGTATTACTTATCATTCCTCTAATAGATAAATGTCTATTAAACCAACTGCTAATGAAGTTGTTACTCTTTATTCTAACAGGACACCACAGTCAACACCTAAGGTTTACTTCTAAGTTCTCCATCAACAATGAACAGGTGTTACCACTGTGGGTATAAACATTATTCTAGTTTTTCACTCTATTTTAGACTTTAATAAAGTCAAAATATGTTACCAAAATTAACATCGTGATTCAAAATAAGATTTTTTTTAAAAATCACGATGTTCTCTAAGGCTTTAACATTGCAAATCATTTTGATAATAATTAGAAAACTATTACTTACTGTGCTTTCACACATAATGTTCAACCCTAACCACAACCCTGTATTCCCACTGTAGAAGTGAGGAGCTGAGTTGGACAAAATTACCACCAGATACATGGTTCAGAGCCAAGTCTGCCTGGCTTCAAATCCTACTCTTTCCTTTTTAATTTGTTACCACATCCTAGCCCCTAAACAAATTAAACTACTAAACTATGCAACTCAAAATAACTAAAATTACACAGACACGCCACAAATCCGATTTCATACCTTTAATCCTCTGAAACTTCCTGGGCTAGTTGGCGAGGAACTGGAGGATTTAGTAGATTTAGGAGTGGAAAGTTGGCTGCTGGGAGTTCCATTAACTGATCACGAGACAAAAAAAAGATAGAAGTCATTAAGACCCAGGACAACCAGATCGTATGAAAATACTTAGTGCATGCACAACGCAGCTCCAATAAAGCTTCAATTCATTTAAGCTCAAAGCAGGTGGCAAGTCAGCAAAAAGCAAAAATAATGTGTTTTATTGCATTACAGACAAAAAAAAAAAATCAGACAATTAGCGAAACCAGATTTTCAATAGTAATTTCCCAACAGTGATATAAACAAATGTATAAGACATCATGGATTTAGAGATATGAAGGAGAAACTGTCCATATATCCTGCCTGCCCGAAATGGTAGAGAAATGGAAGACTGCCCTAGTTGAATGTTGACTGTGAAGGCCATTTCATAATCTCCAATATCCACTCTCTTGGTGTCTACCAACCCAAATAACCAAGACGTTCTATGGCTCTCACCATATTCCAAACACATGTTCTAAGTATGCTCTTAAGGGAAAGGGAAAATTATTAGTGCTTTTCCTTATAATACCTATTTATTTGCTTAACAGCCATAAAAGATATTCTTCAACTTTCTTTTCATCTAGACTACTTGTGTTTCACTCCTTCCTTTTTCTTTTCTTCAAAGCATCACTTCCCCATTTCTTAGCAAACCTTGGTAGTTTTCTGTGTACCCTCTGCATACTTCTTTGGTTGAAAACTTGATTTAGATCCTAAGCTAGAAAGAGTAAGGCCACTATTGTTAGAGGGGAAGGATAATTTGCAGATTCTGTATTACAGAATGCTTATCCAACATTTCAGAATGACTTATGCTTACTCTGAATCACATCATTTGCATCCATTTCTGTAGTAATTTCACAAAGCTGGTAGTTAACATCTACTATTGGTATATGTTTTTCTCCTGTAAAGGGTATTTGTAATCTCTTTTACTATTAATCTTCAAAGGTTTTGCCCAAAGTAGGTGAAAACTGCCATTCAGGCTGGGGGCAGTGGCTCACGCTTATAATCTTAACACTCTTGAGGTAAGAGAATTGCTTGAGCTCAGGCGCTCAAGACCAGCCTAACCACCCCATCTTTATTGAAAATAGAAAAATTAGCCAGGTGTTGTGGCAGGTGCCTGTAGACCCAGCTCCTTGGGAGGTTGAGGCAGGAGAATTGCATGAGCCCCAGAGTTTGAGGTTGTTGTGAGTTAGGGTAAGGACATGGCATTCTAGCTCAGGTCATTGAGGGAGACTATGTCTCAAAAATAAAAAAAATAATTTAAGTTTGCTGTGAGCAGGGACTAATTTTCTTTTTCTTTTTCTTTTTTTCCCCCTCCATCGCACACAGCAACCTGCACAGGTAACCAGCTCCTAATCAATAAGGACCATCAGCTTTTGGCTTTCACTGGTGTTCTGATGCCATATTCATACCAAAGACTCCCTGGAAAGGTGACAAGTAAACAACTAGAGGAGAAAAATCAGCTCCTACAGATGGTGATCTCTGTAGCAAAGCAGTCTCCCTAAAGAAATACCCCGTCTAAGAATAGTTTCTTAACAAAACTCACTGCCAGGAATTTAACCCTTGTCAGTAACTGTCTGTATTTTCTCCCAAATAATCCTCATCACATGTGAGTTTTGACAGCATTTGAAAGGTTCTAAAAAATGTTTTCTAATGAGTAGCTCTTAATTTCACTTGCACATTTCTCCAGTGTGGGGAATCAGAATAGGATCCTGGACACTGCAAGTGGTGCCCACTGCTCCCAACACCTGTGCCACGCCTCATGCCTCCAACTATGCCTTGGATTTTCTCTCCCAAAATTTTATCTCCCTCTTCTCAACTCCAAAAGAAGAAATAAACTTGGGGGCTTTTTGTTTGTTTGTTCTCTCTGAATACTTTTTATCTTGGCAGACTACGAAGATTCATAAGCTATAACTCTAAAACAAACATTTAAGACTCCAACTATGGAATCCACTTACCCATCTTAGTATCTGTGTGTTTACTGCATACTATTAGCTATTAGTTATTTTTATATGTTTCTTGAAGGATTTAGTCCACCAGAAGACTTCACTCAAAGAAGTACTTCTGTCCCAAGATTGAAAACTACAGTATTATGTTTACAAAGTTACCAGCTCTATTTGAAATTCCCATCAGACCCACGGAATATTTCCAATGGTAACAGGTATATGCTAAAGCAATCTGTAAAAGCAAGACTCCCTCTGGGTATTGTAGCCTTAGTTACACAAAACTCTCTCTCCTTCCTGGTGGTAGGTAGAAAAAAGGAAACACATCAGAGACAGAGTACTGTCTTCAGAATCAAACCCGTGTCCCAGTAGCTGACTCTGGCTTTCAGTTTTCTGTAACTATAGCAAATGCTGAACATGCTTTGAATGAATCTCCAGTAAAAAAGACCATTTGCTCTCTGCAATGAGATTTTAAAATCCTACAATCTCTACTTGATGAACTTGGAGCCTACTCTATTAACCCAAATCCACATATGTACGCAGTTGGAAATTGTTACTGGAATGCTATGACTTGTCTTAATTTCTAAGCATTCCAAATTCACATTAAGAAGAATTGTTCATGGATTTATTAGGCTATATTATGGAGCAGTTGGTATATACAAGAAATGTGGCTATAATGCCTGTTTTTAGTTCAATATATTAATTTTCCTCTTTGGACCTCAGGGAAACAAAATTGAATTATTCACTCTTGATTCTTGAACCATTCTTCCTACCTTTATTTAATCATTTCCCTGCCATGATAAGCATCTATAAACATATCACGAAAAACAAGAGCTAGGGACTTGGCAAAAATCTTCATCTACCATATGATTAGCCAAAGAGAATGTATTTATGCAAATTTCATATTATGTTTCCCAGTTTTAAGAGAGCATAATAAAGGCTTGGTGCTCATAGCTCATTAGTTAGGGTGCCGGCCACATGCACTGGGACTGGCGGGTCTGAACCCA